CATTCAAACCGCTCTTTCTGTGCTTCTCAGTTCAAATCCTGTGCTGAAGAATATGTGGCCTGAAGGCAAACTGAGCATCACAGAGGTGACCAAGAGACCCCTGACCGCCGCCACCTTATTTAAGAATTCTATGATTGCCTTAGTAGACAACCTTGCATCAAAGGTAACTCTTTTCTTTTTTAAATATCCATTTTATTTCATAGATTCTTTCTTGAGAGATGTTACAGAGAATGTATGTATGATTTGCTCTTTAAGTTATTGTAATAAATAAATCATGTTGAAGAACATACATTCATGTATTTCAAGTGAATGTTATAATGGAATTCTTAATTCGGGTTAATTTTTTTTTTAACATGGCTTAATGAAACAGTTGTTCATGTCCCATGTGAAATGCTCTTCTTAAGTTGGGGCTTTTTCTTCTAATGTTGTCATCAAGGGAAAAGTCTTAGTGAGATCTTTTAAAAAAAAATTTTATATATATATAAAATATATATATATATATATGGCTTAGTATGTGCCTGACAAAATGAATTGCAGCCCTGTGCTGAAGACAGGGCCTGGCTTTTTTTGTTTTTAATCTTGAATTAAATTATAATATGCTATCCTAATATTGTATCTGAATGCAAAATAACCAGGTTAAGTTTTAAGAGGAAGTTTAATATTTAAGTCTTATCCATAGGCTGTTTTAAATAACTGAAATAAAGAGATGTATTATTGACAGTTATTTCTGCTTTTTATTGTTCCTTTGAGGTCTAATACTGTTTGATAACTTTAGTCTGGGTTTTTGGGTTGTTTTTTCCCCAGTGTTTTTCCTTAAAGAACAGATTTCTGCTCTTAACTGCTGCCATTGACAAGTTGATAAATTAGGCAGCATTCTAGGACTCATTATTTTTAGTTCCTTCATTTTTATCTTTCTCTTCTGGTGCTTTTCCAGTGTATTTTTTCTTCTTCGTTTTTATCTTTTTTTTTAATCAACTTCCTCTCTAAAAATTTAAATCTGTATTATTTCTGGTTACCTCTCTGTGGATAAATTAGGCAGGTGCCACAAGAACACGTCTCTTCAATAGCTTTCTATTTTCGTCAGGATTCTTTGGCCTCAGGTGACAGCAAATGAGTACAATTCGTTGGCTTGTATAATCCAACCTCCAGCAAGGCCGGGGTAGGGACACCAGAGCTGGGGGTGAGAATACAATTAGGACTCCTCCTCTTGTCCATCTGATTCTCTCGGTAGGTCGGCTTCAACCTGCCTCATCCAGCAAGAAGGGAGGTGAGCTTAGAAGGAAGGCGTGTGACACAAGAAACAGGGATGAACACAGAATTTTACAAAATAGATGTTTTAAAATACATGACTCATAAGCGTATTGTTTATAAGCTATATCAGATTTATTTCATTAGAAACAGATCACTTTTTATTTTCTAAATTTCGTAGTTAAATGTGCATTTTTTAAAAATAAAAATTCTAGAACTACCTATAATTCCCATATCAGGAATTGCATTCAGCTACTAAACAAGAGACACACTCCCTCCCCGCCAAATTAGTGGCTTAAAGAAGAGAGGCATTTATTTCTCTCGCCTGCAAATGAAGTACGGAAGAAGGTATCCCAGGACTGGTGTGGCAGCTCTAAGGTTACTGGAGACCCAGCTTCCTTCTGTCTTTCTGCTCTACCAGACTAGTGCTTGGCATCCATCCTCCTGGTCCAAAATGGCAGCCGGAGCTTCTGTTTTAAAGAGACTTCCTGGAGGTCTCACACAGTGCTTTCGCTACTTCTCTTTTGCTGTACCTAGTTGCCAGGGAAGCTGGGAAGTGCCTTTTTGTTCTGGTCAGCAGTGCACCCAGCTGGAAGTAAATACTCTGTTTCAAAGTAGGGAAATAAAAAGTACTTGTCTGTGAGGTAGGCAGCTGGCCTAGCAGACCCTGCTAAGCCGCGCAGTCTGTGTTTGCAGAGGTGGAGGAATGAGGGGGAGAGCAGGGACAGGCGAAAGAATGTAAGCACCTTACCCGTCCAGTAGAAGGCAGGAAGGCGAGCAGGGCAGAAGCAAAGGGAAAAATGTTACATTTAGAACATACAAATTAATATGCTAGAAATAAATCTAATTGGTACTTACCGTAAATGTAAATAGATTAAACAGACTGGATAGGAAGAAAATCCAGGTACAGGCATACCTTGTTTTATTGCACTTTGCAGATATTGCATTTTTTATAAAGTGGAGGTTGGTGGCAACCCTGCAAAAGGTAAACCCCTAGTGGCACCATTTCTCCATCAGCATTTGCTCATTTTGTGTCCCTGTGTCCGTTTGGTAATTCTTGCAATATTTTGAACGTTTTCATTGTTACTAGATGTGTTAGGGTGGTCTGTGAGCAGCGATCTTTGATCTGTGACTTGATGAAGGTTCAGCTGATGATTAGCATTTTTTAGCAATAAAATATTTTTTAAGTAAGGTATGTACCTTGTTTATTAGGCATAATGCTATTTCACACTTAACAGACTGCAGTAAAGTATAAACATAACTTTTATATGCACTAGGAAACCAAAAAATTCTTGTGACTCACTTTATTGCAATACTCACTTAATTGCCAAGGTCTGACTGAACCTGCAGTACCACCAAAGTTTTGCCCTGATGTTGATAAGAGCAACTTAATTTACACTAGGCAGAAAGATTAAAAACAAAGAGGTGGATGAAGCTATATCAACCCCCCACCCCAAGAAAAAAAACCTAGTGAAATAATATTAACGTGAGAGAACATAGGATTTAAGGGGAAAAGTATTAATGCAGATAAAGAGATTAATAATAATAAAGTGGAAATACCAAAGACAGTAAAGCCATTTTGAACTAGGTACCATTTACAACTAAGTAGCCATGATGGTACATGAACTCTATAAAGCAAAAAAAAAAAAGAAAGAAAAGAAAAAAAAAGTGAAAAATGTGAAAGAAAAACTTGACAAGTCCACAATCCTAGAGGGAGGTTTAAAACCAACTCTACCAGAAACTGATAGATCAAGCAAAATTCTTAGTAAGAATGCAGAAGCTTTGAAAACCAAATTTAAACTTTATCTAATACATCAAAAGATCTCTGTACCCAGGGAGCAGGGAATACATAGTCCTTTCAAGTATACATGGAACATTTACAAGAACTGACCACATGCTAGATCACAAAGGAAGTCCCAGCTATTTTAACAGATGTACAGATGTATTCTCCATCCTCACAACAAGTGAAATAAAAATCAGCACTAAAAACTTTTCTAACGTGCTTGGAAACTTAAAAACGTTCTCCTAAATAAGTCACAGGTTGAATTGGAAATCACAATGGAAATTACAAAATATCTGGAACTGCATAACAAAGAATCTATTAGAATTTGTAGAATTCTTCTAAAGTGGTCCACTTGTTATGCCCTTACTAAAAAGAAAAAGGGAAAAAAATAGAAAGTAAATGAGTTAAGTTCAACTCAAGAAGCCAAAAACAGAACTCCAAAGAAAATCTAAAGAAAGGCGTAAGAAAATAATCTTCAAATAGCAAAAATTGAAAGTAATAGACTAGAAAAATTAATCAAGTAGACAAACCTTTAATAAAACAGATTTTAAAAAAAGAGAAAGCCATAATAAGAATGAAAAAAGATACCACTTCATACATTATAGAGATTTTTTTAAAGCATCAGAATACTTTGAACTATGCCAATAAATTTGAAAAATTAGTTTTCTAGAAAAATATGTTATCAAAATTAACTCAAGAAGAAATAGAAAACCTGAATAAATCAGTAACATTAGAGATTCTGAATCACTAATCAGAAGTCTGCCTTTCCCAGACTTTGCCAAGAACTTTAGACCCAGATGGTTCTACAGATAAGTTTTATAAATCCTTCAAGGAGCCTGTAATTCCTATCATACGTAAGCTGTTTTGAAGGATGGAAAGAAGAGAAGCCACCTCATTTGATGAGATTAGTATTACCTTAGTACAAAGTTAACATGAGAAAATGAAATCAGAGATGAGTTAAAAGCTAGAGATGAGGCAAACCTAGGAACACAGATGTGAAGATTTTAAAAATACACCTGAACAATGCGTTTTCTGGCAACAGGGTGAGCAAGGTACCCACTAAAACGAACTGAAAACAAACAGAAAGTTAGGTAAATTATAAAAACCAGCTCCCTGAGTGCAGTCATGAACTAACAAGAAAGCACGGAGGATGCAGGCTGGGCACTGAGTGAAGGCAGCATATCGGTGGCAGGAAGTCTGATTACTACATGCAAGTCAGAAATGCAAAAAGAAGAGCAAAGAAATTGGTAAATATGCGGGTGCACGTAAACAAACTGTGAAGGAATGTTTTAGCGGATTAAAAATGCTGATTAGAATTAAACAGTACAACAGTAGCATGTAAATTGCAAGGTTTGGGTTTAAGGCCCTTGGCTGTTCAGGAAAAGGATAAAAATATAGTTATAAGTTAGTTTATAACTCCTTGTTAAATTTTCTGGTGTAGTCATTGAAAGAATAGAAATGAGGCTATAACTTCCAAACTAGTGATTGAGGGTGGGGAGAGCCAGCATGAGGGGGAAAAAAAATCCGTTCTAAAAAAAATAGGAAAAAGGAGACAAAAAAAATAGGAAAGCTAGGACAAATCAAGGTGGTAGAAATAAATCCAAATGTACTAGTAATTATAGCAAACATAAATGGAGAAAAACTGTCAAATCAGATTAAAGGAAAAGAATACAGATATATTACCATTCATTAATGACGTGAGAATTATAAGCTAGCCAATATTTTCATCCTTTTCCTAAACATAACAGAAAAGTTGAACGTTTAACCTTAAAAAGATGTATCAGGCCAGTTCCGACGTCCTGGAGTCACCTTAGTCCAACTTCTGGAGTCGCTCAACCTTCAGCTACCTGCCATCCCTAAAAGTGCCAAACCCCTTTCCATTCACCTTTAACTCCCAAGGTTGGCTGTTCAGGATTCCAGACCCAAGCGTGGTCCTGCACCTAGGGCCGTGGGTTCCAGCTTTCATTCCCTGAGCCCCTTAAGTCTGTCAGCGGCTGTGCTCAGCCTCATGGCTGCCTCTCGAGGTCTCTAGTCACCTCTCAGACAAAAGCAGCCCCGAAAGCTGGCCTCGCCCCTCTGGACTTTAGTCTTAGTCTCATCTTGGCTGCATCATTAGCTCTTTGATGCATTCA